CAAACACACTAGCCTCGTGCTAGAGGGAGAAATTACTGAGCTTTTGTTTTTTTTGCCAAACACAAAAAAAAAATCCTTCAACCGCTAAAACCTGACGCCACTCCATTTCTGCTTCCATTTTGCGAATTATGCTCAGTGTCTTCTTTAGAGATTTTTCTGTCGTTTCCTTTAGTAATTTTCAGCGCAGCTCCCCCACAGGCGAGGAGGGGAACAGGTTGCTCAGTTAGTTTGTAAAGTGAGAAAGAGAACCACATCATCTGAAAATGTAACAAATGTTGTCGTTTTGGCCCCGAGTTGAATCAAATGTACCGCACTGTCAGGTGGGAAAACACCTCAGCTGCATTTCCTTCAATCAAAAATTGAGCAAATTAAAAATATGAAACCTGCAACATGAATCTTTTATCAAGAATATGTTTGTACATATTTGTTAAAACTGTCATTGTTAAACCGCTGAAGCTAGCATATCATATTCCAATCAGAAAACGGTGTTTCTGTGCAAATGCTATCCATTAGCATGTAGCATTGCACATTCATATTTTAACTTTCCAAGACGCATTTTCGTTCAAATATTTTAGATATGCTGCGTGAAAAATCAAATAATTAGGATTTACACTCCACAGAAAAATCAGAGAAGTGAACCAAGGATAGTGTGATTTACACCTGCAGAGTTTATAAACAGCTGCATATTCAGGTGAATCTGCTGCTCTTTGCTGGAGTCTTCACTGCATTTATGACCAGAAATATTAAAAAGTCAGAGGATAGGAAGTATTGGGCTCATGTTATTCCACAGACAATCTTTTTTTATTACAGCTGAAGGTTTTATTACGTTATAACTGTTGAATAGAAGTTTTAAACATGGCGGTCTCCATATTTGAGCAGGCTGTTGGTGTGAATGAGACCTGAAAGAAGCTCTTCACTTCTCTGTGATTAAACTGGGACTTTGGTTTATTCTGGAGCCACTTTGGTGGGATAAAATCAACTAAACATAACTTATACGAAGGATATCTTCTCTCTTTCTCCAGGATATGCATATTGATAAACAATTTATGTTCAACATAAGTTCTGGTAGTTGGAAAACTGCCTGTTTAAATCCCACACATTTCAGAGGAGCACTAAAATCTGTAATTTAGATTTTGAACATTAGCCCTGAAGGCGTCATTTCAACACAGCTGTAACTGTAAAAACATTGTGAGAGAAGCAAAAATCAGATCCGGACGTGGTGAAAGAGTGCGTTAATATTTATCCATAGGAAGATTTAAACAACGTCGGTTCAGATGGTAAATCTGACAGATTTTTAATTCAACCCGTGTTTTTTTCCTTTCTTCTTTCTGCTGCTCAGCTTTTGTTGCAGCGCTGTGCTTCTTTAACAGGATCCTAAATAAAATATGTGCCTGGTGGACATCAACTCTTTCATCATACCAGAATGAAAATATTTGTTGTAATCAGAGTCATCAATTACGTAAATTACAGAAGTATAATTTCACAGAAGCTCATGAATTATACAGCGCTCATAAATGATAACCCGGCCTGAATCTCCCCGTCTTCACAGTGGACATGATGGTTTCCTTCGTATGTTTGAGCAGCTGAGAGCCAGCAGACAGAAATGAGGTGGAAAATGTTTTTGTTTTTGTCTTTTAGAGGCTGTTAGCTTCAGCCTGGGGGCACGATGGAGCAGATGCTCCTCATTTCTCCTGGTGTTTTACACTCTGACTTCACCTTCAGAGAGAAACGCTCACACTCAGTGTCCAGTCACTAAATTTTCAGATAAAACTTACTCTACTTTTACCATTGGTGAATGAAATGGAAACATCTAGAGAGCCCAAAAGTAATCACTGCATTACTTGTTTAATGAGTGCAGGCAGAATGCTTGTATATTGATTAGAATAGCTGCAAATGTGTGCAGAACTTGCAGCTACGAATGTAATTGTGTTTGTTCACAAAATAGATCCTGACAAACATGCTACGCTTTATTCTTCAACCACTTCTTGTCGTCTTTGTTGTTTCTGCCAGTAGTAACATCGGGTTGTTGATTCATGTGATGTGAAAACGTATTTTCATCTCAGTTTTATGAAATATACAAAATGTTGACGAGGCTGAAAAAACACGATATCCCAGCAAAAACAATAACATTTCTGAGTTTGAAAAGTAAAAACGTTTCTAGAAAAAAAACAAAGAAGTTTCTGAGTTTCTAAAGTCATTTTGAGTTTTCAGTTTTTGGTGTTGCATAAAATTCAGAAAGGATCTCAAAATAGCAGAACTGAACAGAACTGATAAAAATCTCATTACATAAGAAAGATTTTGTGGAAAAATGTAATGAACATGTTTTGTATGGACCAGAGACATATTCTAATCTGTTTAAGGAACTTTAATTGGTCACTTTTAGGATGTTATTACCAGAGTTGGTCTGACTTGTTAGCATCTCCTTTCAAAACTTGCAGATGAAGCCACTGCTAGAAACACAACATAAATGTAATTCCTAGTTGCGTTTCCAGCTGAAGCATCCTGCTAAAGATGCAGAGCATGTTTCCCAGATGCAAGGATGAGACAAATCAAGACGCGATTGAGTTGATTAGGATGTCGGAGGTGTAGAACATAACGTGGTGTAGCACATTAAGAACTTCTTTTCGTCTAATTAAAACAACTCCTGGTAAATGCAGGAGGTCTTTGCAATGCTTAACGAGGTTTCACTGTAATTAATCCATATTTAATAAATGATGTTAGGCTAGAGAGGCTGCTTAGTCGGCTGAATCAACAAGCTCCAGAGGGGGCTGGAGGGCGGTGGATGACAGAGGAAAATAAAGGAAGAAATGAGACAAATAAGTGTGGGTAGCAGCAGGAAGGTAATAAAGACAGTTATGGAGTGTGGCTGGAGGAGAGAGAGGAGAGGAAGAAGATATATTAGATGATATCTGAGCATCCCCACTTTATTCTCACAGTGACTAAATTTGATTTATGTCAGACTGTGTGGGAGATCTTACTCAGATGATGGATATGTTGGCAGGGCAGCTCTGAGCCGGCGTCAAATATTTTATAGAAAAATCTTCTAATGTTACAATGCAGGAGAGAATGGCAGTTATAGCTTAATTCACTTTATTAAAGCTCTTGTCTAAGTCCATTTTAGTATCCATCATTTGTACCGTTACTGCTTAAAGTTTTAACAGAGGCGGCTGGAAGTTGAGCAAATGTGTTAAAAGGTTAATGAAACTCCACCAAAACTAGTAATCATGCCAAATAGCTCTGTTGAGATGCTGCCTCTTGAATTTTTGTGCTTTCTGGAAGAAGATTAATTATTTTTGCTGCATGGAAAAGGAATCAGAGCAACAACTGTTGTTTTACTCCTGGTTTCAGCCTTTTGAATGTCTTGATATGAGTTACAACAATGTTTCATTTCCCTTTGGGATTTTTGAATATTAATGTTAATTTTGGGGAGCTGGTTTCTCGTAATGATTTCTCTATTCACTGACAGAGGTGGTTCTGGTTCTCCTTCATTGTCTAATCCGTCAGTACTGGACAACATGATGCTGCCCCCACAGTGACTGGCAGCCGGTTCAGCAACCACAGATCTGAACATCTCAAGTCCTACAAATGTTGTCTTCGTCCTTCGTCTTTGAACAACAGTGATTTAGGACCATTGTGGACAAAAAAGGAGTAAATGTCCACCAGAATATTCCAAAGAAAAAGTTTTAGAAAAAATGTTGAACATTTCTGCACTTGAAAAGTCCAAAATTAGAGGAAAAATTTGCAGTTATTCTCTTAAATTTTCTAGAAATCTTGAAAATTTCTGACTTTCGAAATGTAAAAATTTCCACAATTTTTTTCAAAGAAAAGTCCTGAGACTTATCTGAAGTGTTTTGGTGGTCCCAGTATGTTACTGTTCATCTTCCCAGAAAGCTTCTGCCTTGCAGATATTTGGATAACCTATGGAACAAAATTCAGTTTAATATGTTAATTTCTGAGTAAGTTTTTCTTCATTTTCACCCACTCAGTCCAAAACTTCATTGGTGTTTCACCAGTTTACATGTTTTAGATCGTGTCATTTTCTTAAATGTTCCTGAACGTCCAAATCTTTTTTCCTCCCATCTGAGAGAAACAGTTTTTGCCTCTTCAAACCGGATCAGTTATTTTCAAATGGGAACTCGCCGATGAATGAGGCGATGAAAAATAAACGTCCAATTATCTGCAGAGAAAGAAGAAATCAATTAAAATAGGCAAAGGTTTGATTTCAGAAAGATTGAGAAGAAAGACAGATGAGAGCAAATATCCCAATATTTGCTGGGATCCTGAAATGTTCCCCTCATTATTTACACTCAGTTATGCACACAGAGCCCACAAACATATTTATTTTTATAGCAGCAGTCTGAAGGTGCAAAACCATCTTCTAACTGTTTGCTCTCATCTGAACAAACGGCAAACGCTTGACTCATATGCTGCCATGTGTACACATTTATAATCCAGCATCTGCTCTCCTTCCATTTCCTCCCTTTTCTATGTCTTTGTTCTCAACTTTCCATCCTGATGAGCGTTTTCACTCCTTCAGCTTCCTCCTTATTCCAATCATCCTGTTTAAACATCCATCAAGTGATTTGTTCTTCCCTTTAGCCTCACTTCTCCCCGCGCTGCCGTCCATCTGCCTGTCGGTCCATCTACTTATCTTTCCTCATTTCTGCAATCATCCATCTGTCTGTCAGCAAAAAGCACAGGAGCACTTATGGAAACAGCATGTGAAGGGACTCGTATTTACAGCGAGTGTATCTGTGCCTAAAGAGGCGCGTGTCGGGCCAGCCTGCAGCTGATTAACAGATAATTACTGCAGAATCGCGGCTTCTTTAACAGAAAGACTGGAAGTTAGAGTACAGCTGGACGGACAGATAGACAAACAAGTTGTACAGTTAGAGAAGAATGACACACTCCACTTTCCCTGCCAGTCACAGAAAAGGGCTGGGAACGCTAAGAGGAGATATGCAGAAGTGAGGGAAAGATCTGAGATCAGGGAGAGAAGGATGAAGGTAGGAATAACAACTGATGGATGAATGAGCTGGAGAAACAGAAGCAGATTGGGATGAAGTTGGCAGCTATAAAGTTTTGTATTGCTTTCACTGATATCCTCAAAAATCCAAGAGTCATCAATGTTTGCCACTGGGAAATGGTCCCTTCGCCTCCATCGATGGCCACCCAACTTTCTGCCGTGTTCAGATGATCTGCACAGCCGGCATTCTGGTTGCCTTCAGGCGACAAGCTTCTTGGTTACTGGCCTCATAGGTCCCTCAAGCAAATGCTTTCAAAGGTTCCTGAACCACTGGGGATGGCCTGCGAGATTCTCTAGCCTCTGATAACATCCTCCAAGGTTCCTGGATCTCTGATAACATCCTCCAAGGTTCCTGGATCTCTGATAACAGCCTCAAAGGTTCCTGGATCTCTGATAACATCCTCCAAGGTTCCTGGATCTCTGATAACAGCCTCCAAGGTTCCTGGATTTCTGATAACAGCCTCCAAGGTTCCTGGATCTCTGATAACAGCCTCCAAGGTTCCTGGATCTCTGATAACAGCCTCCAAGGTTCCTGGATCTCTGATAACATCCTCCAAGGTTCCTGGATCTCTGATAACACCCTCCAAGGTTCCTGGATCTCTGATAACAGAGATCCAGGAGTCGAACCTTGGAGTCGAACCTTGGAGTCGAACCTTGGAGTAAACGAACCTTGGAGTCGTTTAAGCCTCCAACGTTCCTGGATCTCTGATAACAGCCTCCAAGGTTCCTGGATCTCTGATAACAGCCTCCAAGGTTCCTGGATCTCTGATAACAGCCTCCAAGGTTCCTGGATCTCTGATAACAGCCTCAAAGGTTCCTCTGGCCGCCTTGGAGGCTCCGAGGTTCTTGCGCCTCTGGCATTGCCCTCCAGTCTCTTGGCTTACTCGTCACCAGGCTCCAGAATTTCTTTGTGGGTTTCCCAGATCTTCCTCTTGAACTTTAAATTAAATCTTATGACCTCTCAGTCGTTCTTCTTGATGTCTCGGTTTGGTTTCTGTTTTGTTTTAGTCTCTTCGCCCCTCTGCCTGCCCGATCTGGGTTGGGTTTCGTGTTCTGTTTGGACTAAGAAGGTGTCTGACTTGAAGAAGGATAAAGTCAAACTGACGACAATTTAGACACAACCAAGAGACATCGACCCAGAGAGCATCGCAGGGCCAAGTCTGGAGCTCAGGACTAGACGATACTTTAACTTGGCCAAGAGACGCAGCTGAAAGCAGCATTAGGAAAGAACAAAGCACAGACTCTATTTAAATTTGATGTTTTTATCAACTATTACAGCAAACAGATGTTCTCTTGATTTCAATCAGATCTTTTTTAAACTCACCAAATGGCTGTCTGTCTTTTCCCCATAATGAAAACGGTTTAGTGTAATTTCCCACCTTCAGGTGATAACTGATGGCTCACAGATGGGCTTCATTACCGGAGAAGCTCCGGATCGGCACCAGCCTGTAATTAAATTGCTTGTTTCTTGTAAAACTCTTAATTCTGTTGCTCAAGCAGTTTCAGCTACTAGTTTTTAATTTAATTGATTTCCCTATTGATACATTTTGACTGAATTCTTCAGTTTTAACTGCAAATTTTAGTCGTAATAGTAACTTTTACCATTCTATAAGTGAGCTGAGATGGAAAGAAGCACAAAAATGAGCTCAAATTAATACTGAAATAATTAATACACAACTATTTTCAACGTTAAAACATATTTTCAATATGAGGGGAAATTTGATTTTGAAATAAAATTTATTTGAACATGATACAAATATAAAAATAAAATAGTGCACAGTAACAAGAAGTGCATAAGAAAGAAGAGAAAATTTTTGACAAAAATATTTAATTATTGATGGAACTTGTTAAAAGGAGCTGAGCATATCTCTGCTTCAGTCGTTAAAGAAGAGCTCAGATGTGAAGTTATGGCGTCTATTCGCCGTCATTTATGCTCCTCGAAAGGGAACAGACAGGACTCTTCTTCTTTGATGTTCATGCTCATCATTCTTTTTTCCTGCAGTGTTATGGCTCCCAGTCCTCCTGTCATGTTTAATGGGAGCCATTAAAGAACATTCACACACCAGGAGTCCTCTTTTAAAAAAGACAATCTTTCTGCAAACAGATGAAGACAGGGATGCAGTGAGTTGGAATGTCTTTAAAAAGATGAAGTTGGAGGGAAAAATCTGGCAGACATACAGGGAGAGTCGAGAACAGACGGAGTGTTGATCTATATTTAATCTGTGTCTCTGTCCTTTGTTCTCTGAAACGTGCCTCATGAATGTCCTATAAATAAATTCAGACCAACCTTGACTCAGTGGACAGCTAAAGAGCAGAAGCCATTTTTAAATAACTCAGGGCTTTACAGGCTTCTTTTGAACTTCAATCTATGCAGCATTTTATTGAGACAGAAGTGGAAAGGATTCATAGACGAGACGGTAAACGCTGCATTTCACTTCCTGTGTGTTTCTGATGATATTTTTCAAAACAACCTTCCATTGCATCTCTGTTTTACATGTTTCTTTTCACAAGGATTTATAAAGACATTAAATTTACTCTAGATGTCAGCCCAGTGTTTCCCTGGTGTATTGTAAGCCTGGCGGGCCACCAGGCTTTATTTGCCCTCCTACGAGGCTTACGTCTTCACATAGTATTATTTCCAAATTATTATGTCTGCTTGGGTTTGGAAGTTTTTCTAGCCCTTATCCCTAAAATAAACATGTTTCTAATAATTTAAAGCTGTGACTCCTCCATATTTTTCCACCAAGCAGCCAGAACCTTGTTGATATTTTAAAATGGTCTGAACAAATCGTTCTCCAGGCTTTCCGAAGGTCTCTAATTTACTTTGGAGTTTGATTATTTCACAGATTTCAGTCCAGTCAGTTAAGTGGCTAAACAAATGAAAAAAGCCTCCAACTGAGCCAGACTGAAAAGAAGTGGAAAAAAATGTTTGTCAAAAGGGTTTGTATTTAATTGAAGAAAATCGCCTTCGTGCAAATCAGAACAGATCAAAAACATCTGGCAAAGCTGATGAATTACACTCTGAAAACTGCTTATTTTAATTCTCCTGGCCAACAACAGGTATTGTTATTTCCCCTATTTTCTAAGACGAGTTGATGACGTCCTTTGTCTCCACAAAGTTTTGAACTTGAATATGAAGCTACAAGCCTTGTTTGATAAAACTGCAGTGCAGATTTGCACTGACGGCCTCTGCAGAGTTTTGAAGGATACGAATACAGTTAAAGTTCTGCACAGTTGTAACTGAGCGCCAAGATGCCCATTAAAGCGCTCTTTACCAGAGATAGGGCCACATTAAACAGGTGCATGAATCATTTCAGCTTCATAGGAGCAATTTGAAATACACTCAGGCCCCAATTAACAGCAGTAATTCCCCCAGCAGACTCAGGTCATTTCATTTGAGTTGAATACTCGCCTGTCATTCTGATTCAGACAATCCAGCAACAGATTTCCTCTTAAGGGAGACCTATTATGCAAAATTCACATTTTGCATGTTTTTGGATTTCCATTTACAACTGCTTCTGAATACAGGCCAAGCTCTTAAAAACATATAAAAAACAGAAATCCCAGCCAAGTTAATGTTTTCTGGTGTCTGGAAAACAAGCAGTTTCAAAAACATCCGGGAATGTTGAGACACAATTCACAGACACTGCGGCATTACCTAGCAACATAGACTCAGACTAAAATCTCATTATCTAAAAATGATTTTGGGCAAAAACTGTAACCAACATGTTCTGCTCAAAGACGCATAATGGGTCACCTTAAATTATTCCTGTTTGCCACTTTGGAATGATCAGAGAGTTGGTTGCTTCTCCCTCTCAATGAACATTAGAAGCAACTTTCGTACCTTTTTGTTTCTTTCCTCTGAAACAACAAAGGCTGCAGCTATCAGAGAGCCGGATAGTCTCCACCTCTCAGGCTGTCAGGTGGAAACCCAGAATAGCATGACTGACAAGGAGGCAAAGAAATCCAGAGACTTTCAGCAGCCAACCACAACGACTTCTTCTGTATGTTAGAGCAGACACTAACTGTGGCATGAGAGCAGCATCCCAGCAACACTTCTGGGAATGAAGCAAAAAGAGAACATAGAGCACATAGATATACGGTGTAATAAGGGGAGAATGTGAGGTATTAAGAAGTATTAGTAAACGCCTGGACAGTAATGAACTATCCTGCTGCTCAATGGACCACCGGCTTTGGTCCTGATCCCCCGCCTGTGTGTCTAAATATGTGTTAGTGGGAGGAGGAGGAGGAAGCACTGGGATGTTACAAAACCCCTGTCTTACCCCTCTTGAGGTCTTATTAACCTTTACTCATCATTCACACACACACACACTCCCACTTCCTGACTATCCCACCCTTCTGTTTGTTTTCACACACACACTTTGTCCTCGCTAAGGAGATTTAAGAGCTGGTTAATTGGTTGGCTGGGCTGATTTTTCTGCTGAAAGTTAATGCCACCGTCACGCATCGCTCCCTGTGGAGAGGTACAGGAACGCTGAATTTGTATGTTTGTCCTTTGCGTTTAAAATGATGAAGTTCACATTCAGCATCATTCTTAGGCTGTTTTCACACCTGATAGTCCAGTAGACTCAATTCAACTGGAGACCAAAGTTGCAACATTTGTTGCATTTCCAGCTGCTTCTCTTTCATGTTGCACCGTCAAACCAACCAAACCGCTTGAAAAGCCTGTTCCCCTCCTCACCTGGGGGCGCTGCATCAAGAACTATGAAGGAAACGATACGAAAACGTCTGAAGACGACACTGATTGCTGCTATCCTTTTTGCAAAATAAAAATGGAGTGGAATAATATTTTACCAGTTGTAGGATTTTTTGTTTTTTGCTAAGAGACAATGAGCCGTTTCTCACGCTAGTGCCAGGCTAGCACGTCGTTTTGTTGGATTTACCCAGAATGCCGTGCGCTGTCGTCCACTGCCTGCTTTTGAGCCGCATCAGAGTTCATTGCTACCAAACTGAGACTGAGGTCTGTCTGCAGACCAGAGTTTGATGTCCATACAGACCTTCCCAAACGAACCAAACGGCCTGGGGAAGTTATACATGCTGAACACTGATTAAAAAAATGTTACAGTTTTAGCCAAATTAATTTTGTTTTTTCCCCATTTACTGAAAACAGACAAAACCTTTCCAAAAAGGGGCTCCTGTAGAAGCTCAGTCAATAGTTGAACTCGTGACTTCTTGAACACATATCAAAGAAGAGAAGTGTAAGGTCAAAGTGAGAGAGCAGTTACTCCAACTGGCTTCCTGCTCACTGCGGTGGAGGAACCGGCTCTTCCACGCTAAAACTGTCTGTGAAAGCAGCTTCTGCAGCCAGAGCAGGAGGTCAGCTGCCATGTTGCAACACGGCAAACCCACAGTCACACCGTCTGTGGGAAGGCAAGACGGGTGAAAACAAATTTCAGTCGGGTCTCAATCTTGATCGAAAACTGAATTTCCTGCTGACTCGTGGCTTTTTGGTCATACGTGGCCCTTTGATCAGCCTTTGGGAACCTTGGCTTCACGCGTTTTTTCTTGTTCATGACTGTCTTCAACCTTCAAGAGCAGGTCTTTTTTTTTTTCTTAACATGGTGTTGATTCATCTTGTGTGAGAGAGCTTTTCACTTTTCATCTTTTGCTCTTTATCCCTGGAAAGTTCCCTTCAGAAGATGAATATTTTCTATCAGTCACTTGAGACCAAAGTGCTTGTGGCTGAAAGTGTAAAAAGAGGAGTTTTAAAAGAAATGTAGCTGCAAATAACATTTTACTTTGAGTGAATCTTTGCAAAAGATGACTAATGTGATATGCTTTGTCTGCTTTTTTGAGGATAATGTTCAGAATTTTGCTGCAAACTCATTGGAAATAAATTAGTTTCCAAACAGACACATTTCCAGCTATGAACTCATTAAAAAATGTCTA